TATTACAAAGCTAAACATCAAAACCAAAACGCTTACTGGTGAGGAGTCAGAAAAGGGAGAAACTTGTTTCTTCTCATTGTTCTCTCAAATCCTCCACATATCACAGCATTATTTTAAGACAGCTTCGTTTCTGCTTTCCCATCTATTAATTTGGTACCTGAGGTAGTGGTGCAGTGGTTGGTTATCAGGTGCTGTGTTCAGTTCCTGGAAAAAAGGCAGTCCTTGGGTTGATAATACGTCTGGCATCTGCACATGTACATCAAATGCATATTTTACTTTCTTCCTTTGTATTCCACGTATACTGCGGCAGATAAGACTAGACAAATGCACTTTCATTGACAAAGACTCACAGAATGCTTTGGGGTGGAAAGGATATTTGGTGATGGTATCTCACATAGTTTGTCCCCTCTGCTCCATAGCAGGATTGATCGCTTTATCACTAAATGATCCCTGATGGATGAGTATTGGGGCTAGGCATCAGTTAAAAGTGAGGATGATAATTCAGTTTTACTGATGCCACTGAAAGGGGAAGTTAATCTGTTAAATTGTTTAGGAATTTTACAATTTCCCATAAAGTGTTTAAAGCAGATCTTCTCAACCTTTGCCACTGAATGACCTACTCTTTCTTCTTACCCTCCTTTTTATCCATGCATCTAGCATGGAATTAACCTGGTGACCTCCAGTATAGCATTGAGGGAGGCAAGGTGATTTTTCCCCCTGTTAAGGACATAAAGGACCTCATACAGAGATCAAAAGGAATAAGGATATTTGCTATAAGAATTACTAATTATAGGGGCTAATAATCTGAGGTGGTTTGTGTCACATCTAATGTCTTTGCTTGGCCAGCACCTCTGTGAGATCACGCTCTTGGATCAAGGTGTGCTCCCAGGTTTGCTGCATTAGGTTCTTGTAAGACATGTCCCTGTGCATGCCTGGATGGGCTTCAACACCCATGACCAGATAGTTTAGCCTGGCAGGCTCTGGGGCGCAGGGTACCATCTGCATCAGAGGCTGTGGATGGAAACCTATACCCAAGTACTTTACAGCACTGACTGGCCAGCATGTGGACTGACAGAGTCCCACCAGCCCAGTCCAGTTGTTCTGTGACAGAGAGAAGCAGAATGAGAACTGAGCCTTTTGGACACACGGTTTCTTCCCTGGGATGATGTTGCTAGGTGCCGCCTGAAAGGCAGTGCTTGTGCAAAGCCAACCTGGCCCAGAATGATGAGGCACAGGGGCAGATGCAAATGAGAGAAAATTAGAATAAAAGAAATTAATATTTGACGCATACAAGCATATGCACATAAATATAAATACATTTATATCTAAAATCAAGTAGCTTTTCCTCCAGAGTGAATGAGCTGTATTTGCTGCTTGGGTTGTGCCGTCACTTGTGAAGATGATTGCAAAACCCCTCAAATTACAGTACAGGCTTTTACCCACGCTTGTGCCACCCATTTTCCCACTGTGTCTGATGTTGATTAGGAAGGTCTCTGAAAGCTCAGCAGAGGAAAAAGCTAGAAGACAGAATTATAATGATGGAGAAAGAAAAAGATACAGAAGAAAGGGAATGGATATTATCAGCATGCTACATTTTTGTGCAAGAATTCATACAGCATTAAGCTGGTCTGAGGAATGCAAGTGACAACTGTCATAAAGAAAATTTGCCAGTGTTGGACTCCACCCCAAAGTACCCAATTTAGTCCATATCTGACATAAATGCAAACATATATTTGAAACGGGCCAGGGATAAGATTCATCAGAAATTCAGTTATGCTGAGGAACCAATGGAAGAGCACCCTGCTGTTTGGGGATCAGTGAGAACCGCTGCAGAAAAGTTACCTGACTTGCTAGCAAGTTGCCAGATTGCCATTTCCCCATTTCCCCTATTAACTGGGACAAAAAGGTTTTCAGAGAAGATGGAAAAAATGAATAATGAAAAGGTGATAAAGAATCTGAAAACAAACACAGAAGCCAAACAGTTGACTATTGATGGGGTGGGGCAGTAGAGAATGGGTTGCTCAGATGTATAATGGTCACAAACCAAAGCTCCTCTGTGTGTAGTTTGTCGTCTTAATGAGCTGAGCAGGCCTTATCTAACATGTGCTTAGTTATCACTAGCAGTGCAGGATTAGGTCAATTAATAGAGTTGTATGTGTATTTTTTTACCTGAACAGGTTTTCACAGGAAATTACTGATTATATATATCAATTTATCGTGTGGGAGGGTGTCAGTTTTGAATAAATGTCTGTCAGGAAGATCTTTTGAGTTTCAAGGAGATTTTCTAGCCAAAAGCAAAATAAACTTCAGGACCAATGCTACGTAAGCAGCGAAGATGCAAGTTCAAATACCTCCATGATGTTGGTTGCTTGTTAAAATACATTCATTGTGTGTTCTTCCACATGTGAGCAAATAGAGTGAAAAAAAAAATAACTAGAAACAGAATATCTGGGGTATTTCTTCCAGCACAGAAAGAATCCAACCTTTGTATTCTCTGTACTTGTTCTGGTGAGAACTGGCAACTGTTGCCCATTCCCTCATTTTGCTTCTTCATAAAGCTTGATGCCCTCTCTGGACTCTGCAGGATGAAAGGGGATGCTGTCAAACAGCTAACGCCTCAGGTTCAGAAAAGTAAAGGATTGGTTTCTGATTTTAATTGCCAGGTCAAGCAGAAATCTGGTGCTGTTATTCCCCTCTTGGCAGCCTAAGAGGTGTGCTAATGGATCCAGGAGACCATGGTGCTAAGTTAGTTGCAAATAACACTCTGTCCATGAGCATGCGCTGGTCAGATAGGAGGGAGGGAGGCAATACTCCTCATCACGTTTATTTCAACAGCAACCACCAGCTGTGACAATTCCATTTTCCAACCTTGCATTGGCCAACATGCAGATGAATAAATGTGAATAAATGGGAAAAAAAAATATCAATGTTTAAGAACACATTTCTGCCATTCCAGTGATGAAGACACAAGAGGTATTGTGTCCTCTGCCTCCCCCAGTCATGGACTTCCTTCTTCAGGGGAGCCAGATGTCACTGGTCCATTCCCATGGGCACTACAGAAACTCATGGATGTACAGGTGAGTGTTACCCTGGAGAATATCGTCTTAAATCTGAGATTACTAAATGGATCCAAGCAGGACACACTTTTGGAGCAGTGATTTTGCTTTCTGAACTAGCATTTATTTGATGTCTATATCAATACTTACCTGCAGATCATCAATTCCTTGGGGAAAATGTGGGATCTTTAGAAACCATTTTTAATCAGTGATAACATAAACAGAATGATGGTCACTATTTACGAAGCAAAGAAATCTTCGCTTCAGAATAAACACATTGGAAAAATAAATCAAAAAGTCTAAAATACAATTGTCTGTTAGCTCAAAGCCTTGGTTCCTCCTTTGCAGAGCTCCAGGTTAATCAATGGAGGAGAGGAGAAAGAATCAATAGAAATGACAATAAATAAATGTATGGAATAAGATATGGTTCAGATCAAGTAAATATGACTGAAACTTTGCCTCAAACTGAGCAGAAACTTTTCAAAGTTTCAGAAAAGTTTGAATATTTTTTTTTTCCTAGAAAATCTGATTCAAGTGGAGATTTTAAACAACATGGGGAGCAAAGTGTTGTAAGTAACAGAGAACATGAAAGGACATCAAAAGTTCAGGGGGTGAGGGAAGAGTCTAAGATTCAAAAGACCTGGATTCAGTTTGAAGAACCTGGATTCAGTTCTGTTTCTGAGCTGCTTAGAGACTGGGCAGACTAATTCATTACTGAACCCTGAAATTTCCTTTTCAGCCCTTATTTATTTAGAAGATTGAAGAATCTGGCAGTAGAAAGGGGTGCACTGAATCCTTTACTACTATTAAAACAACAATAATAATAGTTTCTATTTTTTCTCTGTGTGACAATTCCAACTTTGCACTCCCAGGCTTAGGGGATTATTTTCTTCTATATTTACAGATTCAGTTTCATGATTGTTTAGTAGACTTGCAGGTAGTGACCAGCTCATTCCTACATGCTTGGTATTTGCATGCACTCAAATCAGACAAAATTCTGACTCAGCACACATTCAGATCAGGAGTTTTAACTCAGTCTGAACCCATAAACCTTTTGAATTTCCCCGCTAGAATCAAAGGAAATAAAATGCTGACAGTATTCAGTATTTATAGTTTTCAGCTGACAGATAGCTGCAAGGCACAGCGCTTGGTACTCACACACTGAACACATTTTCGTTCCTAAGTAAGCCAGCCCTTCAGTCCGGTGCCTTCATCAAATGTACATCTTCCCCTTTGCTCTGACAGTGCTTTTGGAGTGCTGTTGCCACCTCTGTCTTGCTGTCACAGTCTGAAAAACTGAATATACAGTACCGGATTTCCATTTTTGCTCAGGGTATGAACATTCCTCTTGCAGGGAATACCAGGCACTCTGGGACAACGCATCTGCTGGCATCCTCAGAGTCCCTGGGGAGCTCAGGTGTGTGCTTATGGAACACATGCCATTAGAGGGCAGCCAACACTGCTTCCAGTAGCCTCTCATATCATCTGTTTCTCTGCCATGTTTAATAGGCTTTGTCTGGTTCAGGGCAAACCCCATTAGGCATGAAAAGGCAGAGCTATGTAAAGGAACTTGCACTGACAGCCTGTTAAATGAATAAGTTTCTGCAGGATAGTTGGATTCAGCTGTTTTGGAAAAAAAATATACACACACAGACACACATTTTATATTTTTTCTCTTTTTTGTCAGTGTTAAAAGAGGATCTCAGCTTGCTGAATGTATTCTTAGCTGCACTGTGCTATCATTCACTGCTAACATTGCAATTGCTGTTTCCTCTGTGTTGGCCCAACCACACGAAATACTCCCGTGGTATTGTAAATCAGACTTTTTGCCATGCCTTCTGATGCTTTGATTTTAAGAATTACACAAACTCATCTTGTCAAAAAAATACTCTTGTAGATGCAGCAGTTAATTGTGCAGGTGGTCACTGAGACCTCCAAGAGCTCACCTGCACATGTGGAAGTTCAGCTTTTCCAGAGGAATAGCTCAGTTTCTGTGCAGGCTTGCAGCTCCATTCCAGGCCTTTGCACTCAGTCACAGCTCCTTTCATCCACGATCCTCAGGCTTGCACGGAGATAGAACTGTGAGAATGACAAAGCGCGTAGTTACAGGTGTGTAGGTTAAATGGTGATGTCAATATAACTTGCAATTTCTTTAAAAAGAATTTTTTCATTTTTTTTTTCATTTAAACCCATGGATAATGGAAGCTGTTTTTGCTGAGCTTTCCCGTGCATTGAATGGGATAAGTGTGTTTGAGTCTGGCCAGAACTCCCAATGATGGAGAAAAAGGGTCCTTTAAGTGCATTTCTGTTCCTACAAATTTTGTCACTGACACTGCACGCAGCTGGTGTAGTTAAGATTAGGACTGCAATTATTTTTTGCTGACTGTGTCAGTTTGAGCTTTTCTAGCAGAATTTCTCTAGAGGGCAGTAAGGATTCAAAGCTGCCTCAGTATAAATATATATCTATTTTGTAGAAATGACAGATCATCTTTGCACAGCAGTAGAGGTTACAAGAGTGGGTGCACATGTTGCAGTGTAGGGTAGAACAGCTAAAAACACATAAAGCATACTGTACACTCTTCCTTCTCATAGCATCACCCAGGCTGATATTTCATTGCACATTTGTATTCTAAATTACTTAAAGTATTCTGCTTTTAGTCTTGATGAGAAAGGGCCTTTTTGTTAGGGAAGCTTCAGTCTGGATTTATAGAAGGTATGATAATAGGGAACAAACTGGAAAAATAAGTCAAGAGTCTGAATGGAAACGTTTAGTTTAACACCCTGCAGGGCTAAGACTAGAATTGCTTCTGTGACTCCTGCCAGAAAGCTGGGGATACTGAAGCTAGACCTAAGTCCAAATACAAGGTATGTGATCATTCTCTGGCTCCAACATTATATTTAACAATGACAAATATAACAATACATGTATAATGCCTGCTGTGAAGGATATAAGCCTGCTGGATATTCACAAATTAGGTAGGGTTACTGGCAAGAAAGGCATGAGGGTATGAAAGTTTTGGAGCTCTCTTGCACCATCTTCATCATCTTTGCACACTGTACCTGAAAGTGATGCAGCGAGGGCATGTAAGGAGATTAAATTCCCTTTAACACCTTATAAATCTCATATATCACTTAGGAAAACAGTGAATAATGAGTCCCACTTAGGAAAACAGTGAATAATGAGTCCCACACAACTGCTGTTTCTAACAGTTCGTAGTCCTTTCTCCTTGTCTCGTCCATACATCTAGTTTTGAAGCCTCCAGAAACAAAGCAGAATGTATTAAGTTTTGTGGTCAGGTTCTTCTAGCTTTACCATCAGTGGGTGGCACCATAAAAAACACCCAGCACAGACACCCACAGCCAGGAGGGTGAGAGGTAAAAGTAGCAGGGTCCACATGTGAATATTTTCAATCCTGTGATGACTGGACTGCAGTAGTAGCTCTGTGTCCAAATATTTAAGGCAGCCCTAACTGCACATGTGGTTATTTGTGTGTTCAGCACTGTCCTAATGAGTTACAAGCTTCTGCATCTTGTGTCTGGATGAGCTGAAACGCAGGGGTATTTGACCATACCTATTCTTTAGACTCTCCTGTTCTTTGCTGTCTCTATTCCTATGATTTCATGATGGTGTATTTTAAACCTAGAAAGGCTCAGGAAGTATTTTATAAAGTTCTTCCAAGACAATGTCAGACTAAAGCTTTATACTGCATTTCCTTGTGTCCAACTGGCTGTAATACACAGTAAGAAGCATGTATGGTGCATACAGAAGTTCAGTTCTTACCTTCATTGTACTTAATCCTGCTGGGTTAGCAGAGCAGAAGAGCCAGAGCAAGAATCTTGGATACAATCAAGCAAGCCAAGGTTCAATCAGGACACAGCAAAGACCATGCAGGAAGACAGGTGGCCAGGGAAACTTATCTACAATTATATAATGGCCAGTACCTGTTCATAAGGTGCCCCTACTTAAACTTCAGATTGAAGCTGTTTATTAGGCTTGGTGATACCATGAATAATAAGAGATCTCTGTGTCATTCTATGATACCTTTACATAACATAATATCTCTATTTCAGTGTAATAACCATTTAAATAGGGCAGGTGTGGTTAAATTTGAGCCGTGTTGTTTTCAGCCAGATGCAGGCAGGCTCACATTTCTGCAGGTGCCTGTTTTGTCCGTTTAATGAGAAATAAAGCTCTGAGGTACAAGAGGTATAATCAGACATGAAACTCTGAGATCCAGTTGTTTACAGTGCCTAAGCAAAATAGTTGAACCCTAAAATTTGAGTTCACCTTGGCATGAGGATTTAGAGAACTGAACTGAAAATGTGACTTACAATACAGTAATTCAGAGGAGCCAATGTATTTCTTATCTCTGTTACAACAATGAAGCTCTCCAAATTCAATTTGCTCAGGTGTTTGCAACAGCGACTGCTAGCTAATTCTTTATTCATTTCCAAGGCAGGTGCCTATCCTTTCCATTCTCATCTTTACTGTGTTTTAATACAAACTTCACCCTTCCAGCAGCATCCCCAGATCTCTCAACTACTTTCGTCTTAACTACTAAACGCAACTACTTGACTTGTTGCCATCTCTTTCAAGTCAGATCTCTTCAGGGACCATGTTTCTCCTGGTCCCTGAATGCTCAACACACACACTGCTCCTGAGTCGAGCTGCAGAAGGATCTTGCAGTTGCCTTGCTGCTGCTATGTGCCACAGGCAGGCAGTTAACCCACAGCTCAGGCAAGGGCTCTATGTAAGAAACAGGGAGCTGCCTCTGTACATCACATCTGAGTAGTTCACACACCAGCCGTAGTATGCTATCATGTTTTGAGAACTTCAGACGTAATATCATCATCAACATATGTGCAAGTGTTATGCCAAAAATTGAAGTCTGGGGCAAAAATATCAGTGGGGCACTTTAAATAAACAGCCAAGACACAACTTTTCAAAACAACTAGTTCAAACAGAAAATTGGAATGTTATGAACAATGTAAGAGTGAGCTAGATTTTATTGTAAGATTATGTGTTTAAGGAATACTAAATTTAGGATCTAAAGATGTTCATACTTGAATATATTTAAATAATTACTCTGTAAAATATTCATCCTACAATATGTATTCTTGCTTTTCAGGTGTCTTAGCATCTAACAAATCTGTATTCCTGACCTTAAAAAGTACATTTCTTCCTTGAAACAAATTTAAACAATAATGTAAGATGCCATAAATCTTGAAACCTCCTATGTCAAATCAAGAGGAGATTTATGCAAGATAATTCCTTACATATTTGCAAAAGAGTTTGGAGTTCTTTTGCTCAGCTTCATCCAGTGTTTTCACCTGAGACCTCTTCCCTCTCCTCTCACTGGCCAAGTGTCCTTTCTTTGGCTGCAGTGTGGCAAGCACATTTTAGGTGTGGGTTGACAACTGTATTTTAAGCAGCCCCCAGCTCATTTCAGACTCAGAACTCTGACAGTTTTCCAAGTACAGTTGCTTGCACACCTCTTACGGAACCATACTGAAGATTTGATCTCGCCTAAAACCCATCCAGGTTAATATGCCAAACTCTCACTGGAAGAAAAAGCACTAATGGAGAAGGTACTCTATACTAGAAGTGATGTCAAGAATGGTTTCCTGACCCATGGACAGGGTTCGAAGTTAGAACTTTCCCCTAGTTAACAGGGAGATAGGATAGACACTCCCTAGGATTTTGTGAAAAATGGGTCATAGCCTTGAGTTTCAGTACTCACTAGGGCACCCAAAGCGACAGCTATACAATGGTGAAGAAACCCTGTCCCCTTTTCACCCATTGCATGTCATGAAGATCATCGTTGTGTGTTTACGTCAAGAGTACTCGGGGAGCTTTCACTCCCCCCTTAGGTTATTCGGTATGAGCAGTAAGGCTCATAAATAGGGTTAGAAGTACCCCTCTGAAAGAGGAATATTCACCTAAAATAGATCTATTTCAAAGGCAGTAGCCCAAGAGTAATCGCTGTTTGGGGTCCTCAGTATAATTCAAACCACACTGTCTCCCAGAAAAAGCTTTTAGTTAAGGGGCTATGATTTTAGGAAGGCTTTATACCCCATATGTGCACTATGGATCATGGAACTAGGAAGCAGTAAAAGTTGAGTACAGCTAGTATACCAGGGACTGACAGCATTATGACTTTTATCAGTTATGTGAGAAATAAGTCCAGTCTTAGTAAGACAGTTAAACCAATAATGACCATACTCCTAGGCTACAGATTTATGGTACAGAGTCCACCCTATAAAGCAATTGTTTAGAAACCAAGAGCTTGAAAACCCTTGTTTGGACAAGTAGTCCTTGCTCTCAAGTTCCATTGAGCTTCCTTTGCTTCAGCCACAGCAGTCCCCCAGAAAGCACCAGGCAAGTAAGCAGACTGAGAGAGACCCAGACCAACAAGCCTTTCATGTCCTGGGGTAGTCCAGCTTGCCTTGTAGAAACATGTAAAACAGTAAGCCAAGTACTGTGAATTCATCATTTGGAAGATACATGGACCATCAGAGCAGCCATAGACCAGCTTATTCTTGGCTCTACTGATGACATCTTCTATTGCTCATGCCTCAGTTGCCCCATTGATAAAACTGTATAGGTAAAGTTATTTTTCAAAGCCCTTTTATATCCATAGATGAAAAACATACAAATGCCAAACACTGTTGTAATGAAAAGTATTTTCCTTGGCTGTTCAAAATCAGTGGGAAATCCATATTGGACACTGCTCCTGGAATGTTTCTGCAGTGGCACTTTTACAGCAAGAGTGCTTTCCTCCGAAAATATACAGGCTGGAAAGGATAAAGTAGATCAAGTTTAGTGGTTCAGGATCAGTCAGTTACTCAATGTTACTGCAGTTAGAAGGAGGTGAAGGGAAGATGGGTGATTTCAGTAAGGTTCCTGCAGGGAAATGTGTGCCAGGATTCAAGCCTGGTGATTCATAAGCTGTTCGTCAGTAGCTGTTAAATATCTGCTTTTTGCCAACGCTCACTGTTTCAGTCTGCCAAAGATACTGGATAAACAGCCCCTGTAAAAAATTTATAGTTTCTCTGGGGAAAACAAAAGGGTTTTGTGGCATGATACAACATCATAAATTAAAGCTTTTTTTTAAAATTAAGAAGTTACATCATGTTTTGATGTAATGTGATGTGGCAGGTCATGCTTTTAATTTTAATAAGCTTAAAAAAGAGAGATTGGGATTTGGGAATATAAATATTGTTTCTGAACCTATAACATCTCTTGTTGGAGGCTGGCAAAGCAGGTTCACCTCTGCCATTCGGGTTCAAGTCTTATTTCAGGAAAACAATTTGAAATGACTCCTGGAGGTATCAGCATCAATTAATGAACTGAATTTCCACTCTACAGACCTTCCAGGAAATTACCAAACAGCATTAGTACTTCTATAGTATTTGTCATACTTAGGAATTGCTGTGCTTTCAAAAGTACTGTCATCTCCAGCCTACCTTTCTTGAGGTGTCCTGTAACTTTCAGGTATTTTCAATTTTAAAGATTCCAGAATGAGGGACCCAGGGCAGTATTTCAGGGGTGCTTACAGAAAGTGCCCACTGGTTTCAGGAGCAACTGAAGTGGTACAAGCGCATCTCCGAGTAGTCAGTCCTTAAACAGAGGCATCTCACTGTGGAATTCAGAATTGAAGCCCATCGTGTTAGCAGTCACTTGAAGATGCACATCCTTTTTAGCATCATAAGGTTATGACAGAGAGCAGAATTCATGCATCTTTAAACTGATGTGAGCTTTCAGCACATCTAAGGCTAGGCCTGAAATAAGGTGCAGAGAGGTCTTCTACCTTATGAACAGTGGACCTGGCTTCTCTTTTTCCCCAGAAAAATGCATGAGCTAGCACAAAAGGGATATTAGCCTTCATTTTAACCTTTGGTCATTGCTATAAGTAATGTAAAGGGTTGGACGTACTGCAGGACTACACAAAGGAGAAATAATCAGCATTTCACCTCCTGAATTTTATTCATTTTTCTTTCAGCTCAGTCACAGGAAGATGTGGTCTGAACCGTGCATTTAGTTAGTCATATCTGACATGACTTCACTAGATGGCCATTGCTCTGTTCTCACTTACTTGGTCTGATCTCACTAGATGGAACTCCTGGAGGGGATTGCCCTTGTCGCACGTTGGCTTTGGCTGTGAAGGGATCCTGGAGCTCTCACTGCCTCCCTTGGCAGAAACTTGGCACTTTCTGGAGGAGTCTTGCATAAGCCTTTGGAGAACGAAATAAGAAATGACTACTGTAACACAGCTGAGTAATGCGGTTCATTTCACGCTGCTCAGACAACCACCTCACCCTCTGCTAAGCCCAAGGTAATTGGTTTGGGGCTGTTTAGGGCACGTGCCTTTCATTCTCCTTTCTAATTTCTCTTTTCAGTCCTCTTATTTATTTTCCTAATAGTTCATTTTTCCATTCTAACTCTCATTTTTATATTTTTAATCAAATTCAGAATAGAGGAAAAAGGGTGACCCATTGTCCTCATAAGTGACATCTAGTCTATGACTTGACTGACAGGAGGTACCATTAGAATAAGCATCCCTTCTCTGACTGAGACTATCCATGTTAACATTTCTGTACTCTGGGCTATATATTTGATCTTACATAGCTGTAAATTATGAGCGACTCCATCAAAGTCAGAGGCATTTCTACAGTGCTAACATGGTGTAGGTCAGCTCAGATTCATGCTTTGAGGATTTCAGATGTCTCACTAGGGCTCCTGTTGTATTGCTGGCCAATTCTGTCATTCAGGCATGTATGTGGTTAGAGTGAGCTGGCAAAGTACCCAATATGTGAGCTTCTCACAAGAATCTCTGCCTTGAATTTCTTGAAGATCAGGTTCACACTGGCATTTGAACCTGGCCATGGAGACAAAAGTGTACAGTACGTTACTATATTGTAAATCATATGAGGGCAATATCAAAACACAATAAAAAAACATCTGAAATAATTTTCCCTGTGTGCACAGGGTATGTCTCCTTGGGGTAAAACTGATCTTTCAATTCAGAGTTCACATAGAAGGTAAACTACTGCAGACAGAAGTTGTTCAACATAATCAGCTGAAAACGGCAAGCCTAGATGAAACATTACCAAAGTTAGCCTGTAAGGAGGAAAAAGATTTTGCTTTCAGTTCCACAGTGTTACACTCATGTTCTGTGACTGGCTTCTGTACTAGTAATTATTTCTTTACATCTGAGAAAATCTTGGAATGTTATGGAGAAGGCTGAACTGTTAGAAGAGGGCTCTGTGGGAAGGGAGGAGGAATGCATAGTTTTGATTCATGTGAGGAATGTGCTCACTAGGAATAAAGTTTACAGACTTATTTCAGGAATTACAAAACCAAAATGAGATCAAAACTTGCATGATCAGCCTAACTGTTGGAAAACAGGGTAAGTAGCTGCAGAAACTGGTACGTAGGGAAAGTGGGGAGGGTCAAAGGTGAAGGAGTGCTTAAGTCTCTTTGTAACTGATAGAAAACAGAAAAAATGTTTTTAAGAACTTCATACTTTGTATTCTCTTAGATAATGAGAACATAAAACGTCTGGTTCTCATCTTTTTTACACTTACGTAAAATTGGGATCAACTCAACAAGTTAATGGAGTTACATAGGTTTAAATCTGGCATAAGTGAGATAAGAAACAGGCCCATCAGTTCATTAAGGACTTCATTAACTGTGACTGGAATATCTTGCAGAGCCTGTGTTCCTGCAAATAAAAACATGCATTTGAGGCCACAGGAAGGTGTTCTGCATGCCCTAATTTGTATGTGTACAGCCAGCTGCCTATTTTAAAGTCAAAAGCTAGAGGGCTCTGTATAATTACATCTGGGAGTGGGTGAGAGTGTATTTGTACAACGGTAGGACTTGTGCATGCAACAAGATAGATGCACACACAGGTGGGTCTAACCTGTCATCAGTAATAAACTGAGCACAGCAAAATATACAAAGTTCTTCGTGCACACAAGACCTTCCATTTAATTAAACTTTGCCATGACTTCTTGGCTTGCAAAATTGCCCTGTTTATGTTTATCTCACTTATATATAAGTTAAATATATAACTGCATTCCACCATTCTGTGTTTTCTGCTGAGGGATATGCTTATGGTCTTATGATGCTACTCAACCCCCACTCTGTACCAATTTTATTCAAACGTCAAAATAATGTATATTAAAAAATCCATCCACAGGAAGGATTTGAATAGCAAAGGAACAAGCATCTCCCTCAAAATTTATTCCCCTTCATTATTGATGGGCTCCATCACTTCAACTTGGCTGTTTGATCAAGTGGTAAATCATGTAAATATACCATGTATGAGTGTCAAAGCAGTTTTGAGGAACTGAAAATTTTTAAGTTACAGGTCAAGCAGCAATTTCCGAGAACAACCCCTAATGAAAGCAAAGATTTTCTTCCTTTTAAGCACACATCAGACCAATCTAATTTACTAGGGAGAAAATTCACTTTAGTGCAGAAGGACAATCCAGACGTATACACTACTCACGCCCTTGTTAAGTGAAAATTGGGATAAGTGGTACTAAGTCAGTGCATAGATCTTAAGCTTGTCCTCTTCAATAGGGTGAGTTTTACCTTTAATAATAAGTAGAGCATCAGTGTTGTCTAGAATCTTCTGAGGACCATTAACACACAGTCGAGTTTCACCATAAAGATGTAGCAGAAAATATAAATTAATTGAGAGCTGGTTTACTAGTTATATACTTCTTATTGCTTCTCATTTGTGTACTTTGGACTTTAGTATGTCTTGTCCAAATTACGCTGAAAAAAGTTCTGAATTCAGTCCTTCAGTCTTATCAGTCCTTCATGTTATTTACTTATGCATTTCTACTCAATTTCTGTTGAAAATTTATCATATCACAAGGAAATCCTGCAGATTTAATTTAGTCACTGTGTTACATGCTACATTTGTCCTTGAAAAGGTCTGCTTCAGCACACCAGAATGCAGATGAAGGTGAATGAAGCTCAGATATGCAAATCTGATACAGGCCCTCAAAAGAAACTAGATCTCCACAGCCACAGTTCCAGTAGTCAGGGAAGGATCAATGAGGGCAACATTCAACCTGGGAGAGATGCCTTAGGTAGCAGCAGAGGGCAGCTTTGCTGGGTTTTTCAGCTGTCCCTCCTTCAAACAGCACCACCAGACATGCAGAAGGCCCCGTTCTCTGATTCCTAAGGTACATTGCACATAGGACTCAGGCTGGTGTAACTTCTTTTAAATTAACTGGATTTCAGAGATGCAGCTCTGCAATGGAGAATGATGCCAGGAAATATGCAACATCCCCTATAGGTTTCCACACCTTTATCCTTGAAAAGAGAAATAAAAAGCCTCCAGAGACAGTTGTAGAGTAATTCTGACAAACCCTGACAAAACCGGACTGAGCCTGCTCCTCCCAAATTGGTTGCATTTCTGGTTCCTACAGATGGTCACTTCCATCATCTCATGGCCAACCTCTAAGGGATAAGAAAGGAAAATGCTCTGAGCAGTCTCTTGAGAGAATTTCATTAGATGTTCACAAGTAGGTGGCTTGAATTGCTAATAAAGCTTGGAAGAATCCCTTTCCTGGTTTATTCCTTTTTTTTTTTCCCCAGCTTGATCCCAAATCAATCTTCCTTCTGTTTCAAAAAGCCTTTTTGTCCCAGGGAAATGTAAATGACACCTCTGTGTGAGACTTGGTGATTCTGGCTCATGGCCCTGATGTCATTTCATTGCTTTGTACATCAAAAGAACGTCCCCTGACACAGACATTGGTTTACCTTAGCTTGAGTGACTCATCATTTTCCCACAATTAAATTTTTGAGCTCTAATGCAAAGCAGACTTATCTGCTTTGACAGGACAGTACAGAATAAACAGAAAAGACTAAATTTGTATTGGCAGCTACCACTGCGCTGCAGTTATGAGTAATACAGCATAACTAGAAAGGACACCAAGAAATCAAAATAGATTCTAGTTGCTGGAGAACCAAAAAAGAAGAAATAGCCGTTGATCCCCAGTCACTGACAGTTTTTGTTCTGTCATGACACTGGATGGGAACAGCAGCAATAAATGTTTCTGGTCTTTCTACCCTGTTCATATTATTTTTTTCTTTTATTTTCTTTAAAAAAGGGTATGCCACTGCAGGTAATTTCTCTGTGTGCTGTATATATTAAGGAGAAAAAATATACTTACAATTTGGACCACGGTTCAAACATACCAATTTCCTCAAGCCTATGTATGCCCTGCCTCACTCAGACCAGCACTTCTCACAGTCTCCCGTCTGCACAGCTCTCCATTGCCCACTAGCAAAGTGGGATGCTTGGATGCTGCTGGTGTGTGACCCACATGCAGCTACACCCACAGAGAAGCTACACACTCCAGTGGGTCCAGGAGGCCTCCCTGTAAACTATCTGTCTGTACTCTGGTTTAAATTCAAGTTGTTCTGGCTACAATCTGAGGACAATTACGTGGTGTCACAGATGATTTCTTGCCATGCAATGGGGGACATATCACACCTGGAAATGCTAGTGGAGTTGTGGTAGGAGAAGTATATTTGTACCCCAAAAATGGGTTGAATCTGTACTGTTGTGGTTTAAGCCCAGCTGGTAAAGCTGAACCCAGGACACTTACTTTGCAGTCAACTTGTTTGGAGAAGGGAAATGATTCATGAATTTAGGATCTTCAAAATGAGTATCATCAGTAATCTTTTTCTAACTGAGAAAAGACATGCACTGAACTCAGGTGGGTTTAATTCCTGTGGGCCCAGTGTTTCTGACTAGCTGGATCACAGTTGGCCAGTCAATCAGAAACTGGCCATGAGGACTGACATAGAATTTTGGATTATGCTCATATCGCTTTGCTCCAAATTTACATGTGCAATTACTACATCTGCACATGAAGATCAATACACTGTGTGTACAAATGAACAGAACTCATTCGCATGTGCCTAAGCAAATTAGGACATGATTACATACAGTTAAAAATTTGGATTCTAAATCTTTGTACACTTCTGTTGTGATGTTTTGTGATTGCTAATTGCGACAATATCTGTGCAGGGTATGTAATTCAACGTGACAAGTGTTTTTAGCAGCAGGTGAATAAGATCGGTTATTGAAACAGCAAAATTATTGCCAACATTGAGAAAATTGGATAAAAAAATAAGCTCCAAACAGCCTCATTCATATCAGATATAATACAAGCTAGAGTAAACACAGAAAACTGTTAACTTTCCATGTCAATAAATAATTTAAATTCTTTATAAGAGAGCAGAATGGCTTGGCACTGTTTTGACTCTTTAGCATCATAAACAGAGTAGTTGTACCATGCAGCTCTGCTCATATATTTATATTTTGAACTACTCACCTATCGTATTATAAGTTTAAATTGGAAAGTTTTGAACATTAATACATCAGACACGAACTTCTCATTTTAAAAGCTTACTACCCAGTGCAAAAGGAAGTGGTATTGTGCTGTTACAAAAAAGAGCATGTGCAATCTGATTTCACTGCTGGATTACATCTAGTCTATCTTTTGGTCCTTTACAATGCTTGGCATTCTTTCTTCAAAACTAATGCAAGCCCTCATCTTACACTCGCCATCGTATAAGAAAAGTGATGACTGGAGAAAGCTGTGGCAACTTGCATTGTGGAAATGAAAGTTTTAACCTTTATGTCTGCACTAGAAGCCTTGGGAACTTGTACTGATAGTTGTTATACGAACCAGACAAGATATGCCAATAATGTCCAGTGCCATCAGTATGCAAAGAGTAGTTCTCTAGAGAAAGATGAATGGACATGGCTCTGTGCCAGTGTGTTTTTGGACTGCCATGAAGAGGTCTTCACTTTTAATTAATTTTTAAATACAGAGCATCAAGGACATGATATCCTTAACGAGAAGTACAGGGCCATCTTCCATTTCTCTTGCACTCTAACATGAAATAATGGTTGCTGGGTGTAATGCAGGAGCACCTCTGCGCGTATGTGTTTGCATGTAATATAACATAAAAGGATATAGATGTGATTAGGTCAGCACATATCCTGCAGGAGCTAAGGCATGAGATTTGATTTGCAGATCTCAGTAAAGTGATCAGTTTTAGGCTTTCTCAGGCCATGTGGATTCAGAATCCAAGTCCATGATCAAAAAGATAAGCAACACAGACATTCATGTTAGACTGTGAGTTCTGCCTTTCTTTGTGGCAACTTTACTGATAAAGACAAGGATATAACAAAGCAGAATTGAAAAGGATTAATGTAAATGGCCTCCCTCTCTTACCCAAGTTTTATATAATGCTGGATACTTAAGACCTATTATCCTTTAGCACTCCAAGACAGTGACTGTGTCAGTTTGCTCCTCATAAATAAATCTCTGAATAAACTGACCATCTCTGTAGAACAGAAGGAGTTTTTAACAGATTTTATCCCTTTTGATCTCTTTGCCCCTTGTCATGCTGAAACACCTGCATAGTTTTCGCTGGATCTGGGAGGAGTATTTCACAGCTCATAGCTCATGTGTTGTTTCTTAACCCCCTGCCCTGTTTACCAGAAGTAGTTTTATCTAATTTTTTTGGTGTTGTCTCCCTACTACTTCCTAGCAATCAGTAAATAAAACTCCCATGTACATACATACGTACAGGCACAGTAAATATAGTCATACAGTAAATTTTCATGCCCAAAGTCAGTCACACGCAGCATTCACAAATTAATGCCACAGGCCCATGTCCTTCACACTTTTGTTTTCACTTTAAGATTCTTTCTTAATAAGGAATAATGAACATCAACACACAGTTATTCAGTAAACCAAAGCATATAAGCAATTAAATTAAATTAGCACAGCCAAGCAAACAAAGCAGTAATCATTCAAGTCCTCTATTCAGTCTGCAGCCATAATGATAGACTGAAGAATAACAATACATTCCAGTAAAGACAATTAATATTTTTATTTTCTGAAAATCTTTAACACTATGTAAATACTACTTTTTGTCACAAAAGATTCCTTTTAAATAGTCTTTCCTTCTCATTTCAAAATGTGACAAATCCCAGATAGAATTGGTCTTTTATAAGGTTCATGTAACTGGAGTATATTCAGCATTATCTTCTCCATACAGTTTTAGCTCATATCCTCCTGGGAGTCTCTACCACTTTCCTTGAATCTACTAAAACAAGGATTGGCCAGTCCAGAACAGTAAAGGATGAAGGCATTAGAGAATAGTCTTGGGTCAAGAATTATTATTGCTAGAGGCCTCCAAAATCTAGTTATGGGTTTCAGCAAACCCTGTGGGCTCTTATGATAATGCTTTTCTACAGTATTATTGTTATATGGCATTAAATCAGTCAGATTCATGAGCAACAAGAGGTCAATGTCTGATTGAAATTCATAAGGTCAAAAAGGAAACTAAAAATCAATTTATAAGATATGAAGATTTAGGTTCAAACTATATCCATGAGCAATAAAATTTCACATCCATAAATGTAAGAAATCAGTTATTAAACTTGAGGGGGGGAAGAAGACTTATTAAGTTTTACACACACATAAGGCAGCTAACACATAATTTTATCAGACATTACTGAAATCCTATGTGTAATATAAGAGATGATGGGCTAAAATGCTAAATGGTTTAGCACTAAATTATTAAGTGATGTATCCCTAAGGTATTAAAAAGATAACAAATGCAGAGCAGGTGTCTCTCCCACCAACTCTTGATCACTAGTTTAAGTGCATATTGGTAACAAATGCACTTTAGAGGCAAAATAGTATTAGTAATATTTTTGCTCTGTGAAAGCCTCATGTCAGAATGACTA